TAAAAATAAATGAAATAAAAAAAAGAAGATGCTTGTTTGATCTCTGGGTCAGCCCTGGGAGAGGAAATGGCAACCCACTACACTATTCTTGCCTGGAGAATCCCATGGACAGGGGAGCCTGATGGCTTGCAGACCATGAGATCACTAAGAGTTGGACACAACTGAGCAACTAAGCATGAGCACGAGCCCCAGGCATGGCCCAGAGTCACTAGCTCATGCTTTGAGGGGCCCTGTGCAGTCTCTGGAGCAGTAGCAAAATCTAAAGGATATGGCTATCAAGAAAGGTCAAGAACTCTTCTAGGAGAAATGTAAAAAGAATAAACTGTTTCCTAAAGAATTATATGAAATTAAAGTTGATATCACAGTGAGTACAGAGGATGGGAAGGCTGGACCGTGACTTAGTGCAGATGGTTTAGAGTAGCTAAAGTGTTTAGCATATTCATTCCACCTATGAAAATTAGTTATACTGAACAGATAGTAAAATTACCCTCAAACCCCATCTTTTTCTGAACTGTTTTGGTGATGGAGAAGATGGTATTAGGGGTTTTAACCTTGATTTTTAATGTCAAAACTTCTTACATCAAGAAGTATATATACTTATATACTTATTATATCAAGAAGTATATACTCAATAGATGGGTACTGAGAATAAATTCTCTACCATTTTCAAATGTTTCCTTCTTGATTTTAAAATTACATTGAGATGTCTATACAAATCGGAAGTTATTACAATTTTTATTTTTGTTTTTCTCGTTTAACATATTGTAAAATGCTTAGTCATCTATATTATTGACTAGTATTTTAGTTATAGAATGTTGTGTTATTAGGTTGTAGATTTACAGAAACATCTTATTATTGAGCATTTCAGATATTTCTGAATTTTCACTATTATAAATGACATGACATCATCTTCCACTGTAAAACTTACAGCATCTCATTTCACTTTTAGAATAAATTTCAGTGTTGGGGTTACCAGTATAATGAATACAAAAACATTTATGACTCTGAAAATATTTGCTATTTGTTTTCATAATAATTATTAAGTATATTTCTCAAAACAGTGAAATAAGTATTAATAATTACTATTAACACCATATTTTTTCATAGTTCACTAATTTTTCCACTACTGTCTCTTTTCCATTCTAGAATTCAATCCAGGCCAACCCATTGCATTTAGGACAATTGCCTTTTAAATGACATCAAATCATACATCTTGTGATCAAAAACTATGAGAACACTGCATTCTCCATTGTCAATGTTTTAACTCTATTTGTGGAAATTCCTCTTATCTGAAAAAAAGATGGTAGTGAATTGTTTATATTTAGTGAACACTTTAATTTTAAAATTATATTTATCTTAAAACTCCCCAGATAAGTGAGATTAACAGACTAAGAATTATTTAATCATTATATTAATATAGAGCCTTGTTCTTCCCCCTCACCCTTTACATTATTTGATTTTTTTTTTTTTTTTTTTGTATAGTGATGCTACCTGAAAAAGAAATAGAGACATGTGGATCTGAAAGTCACAATACTTTTTCAGAGAGTATTATGAATATTTAAAAGTGTACTCCAATATCTGAAATAGTGCATAGCACATAATAAGTACTCTGTAAATTTATTGGAAAGATGAATGAATGGATAAATGAATGAATTTTCTTTCTTTATTAAAAGTTTAAGCATTTAAACATATCTGCACTATAACCAATAGAATATTTTATATTTGTGAAGAAGTAAAAGAATGGGTAAAAATACTTCCCATCCTTGATCATGATAAAGCAGGAATTAAAAGTAAAAACTATCATTTCTACTTTATCCAATGGCTCTGAGGACTTGTTCTTACCATTAACTGTGATTTTTTTCTGTGTTTTTAACTGTGTAAACATTTTTATCAGTATTGTCTTACCAGATCCTCACAAGAACCTTGTCAATAGCCGTTTTAACTCTATTCAGTTGTAGACATAGCATCCAAACCTTAGATTTTTAAGTTGTTTTTCCCCATCACAACTAAGTAGAGAAGCCTAGATTTGAACCTAGTTCAGTATGAATCTGGAGTTGATATTCTTCTTCATTTCATTTCATTGTGTCTCTTGTCTTTCTCCAAGGATAAGCTGATAACTACTAAATCATATGTTGACTATATGTTTCTCTCTCTCTCTCTTTTTAAGGCCATAATCCTAGATTTTTTAAAATTATTTTTTAACTTTTTCTTTTTTAAATTATGAAAGTATGATAACACACTTACAGGCAACTTGGAAAATACAGTATAAAGTTACATATAGTTCCACTATATATTACAATTATTTTTAAGTAGATAAATTGGAGTTTCAATATCAAACTCTCAAAAATTGATAGAGTGAATAGAAAGAAAAGTAGAAGGATATAGTAGACCCGAAAAGAACTGTGAACCAATTCAAGACAAGCTCCAACATAGTTCAATTTGTACAGTTTTCACACAAAAGTAGGATACAAATTTTAATAAATTGTCATTGACTGATCTGATGATGTTACATGGTTTGCTTTATACTTTTCTATTCATGGTGACGACTTGTAACTGGGTATGAAGTTCACAGTGTAGACACTTTCGGAGTGTCTATTACTCTGGAAACACAATGGAAATACATTTCAAAGTAAGTTAAAAGACAAATGTTAGCTAACATAAAACTGTGTATATGCTAGTCTTTCTAATATTATAAATTGCTTTTGTTAGCTGTGACAGTCACAAAAATCAGCTTATTTTTATTTCTCATTGTAAGTTTAATTTTTTGCTTTATTCTCCTATTTAACACACACACACACACACACTCACATGCCATTTGACTGATAAATTTCTGTTATATGTACAGGTGAGGTCACAATCCTTCACAGATGCATGTTGCTATGGAAAATGAAGTCAAAATGTGGAGTAATAATCTGAATGGCTCATGAAGTCTTTCTGTGGGTAAGTTGTCTGGCTTTTTAAATGAGAGAATAGAAGCTAAAACTGGTAAGGGTGTTTTACCATAAGCAACATTTTCACATTTTCCAATTTGACCCTCATTATAATCCTGTGAAATGAGTAGGGAGGTTAGACATGATCATCCCTATATTACAATGTACGTGAGTGCATAGTCGTCGTTCAGTGGTGTCCAACCCTTTGCAACCCCAGGGACTGGGGCCTACTAGGCTCCTCTGTCCATGGAATTTTCCAGGCAAGAATACTGTAGTGTGTTGCCATTTCCTATTCTAGGGGGATACAATAAAGTCATATAAATTTGAAACAGATATCCTTGGATCTTGATCAGATTGGGCCACATTATATAAATCATTAGTAAAAAATAAAGCATTCAGACTCTGCTATATTCAGCATCCTGTTTCTATCCCTTACCTATGCAGTTTCTATCCCTTACCTATCTGTAAGTAACTGGGCCATTACCTTCTGATTCTATTAATACCTCATTTGCCCTGCATCCTTATTCAAGAATCATCATTCAAACATAAACAGGGGAATCAGAAAGTTTTAAACTCTACAATGAATGGAGACTTTAGAAAGGCCCCTGCTTTCAAGTTCTTGCTAGAAAATTTTTGCTTCTTTCCCTATAGAGCCAGTGGGATGGACTTGAGTGTTAAAGTCAGAAATTTGGGGTTAAAATTCCAGACCCACCATATGCTATTTGTTATATTTTTATCTTCTTAAGCATGACTTTCCTACCAGTAAGATAGGGTAAGAAGATCTAAACTGAGTTATTTTCTACCCACTAGACCCTGAAGAGTTGTTCCCTTGCATGATTTAACTTAGTCATTATAGCATACTCATTGGTAGATATTATTCTATGTATAAACTTCTGTTCTTGTTTTTAAATGATGAATTAGGAAAAATACCAATTCAACACACACATGCTTATGAATATTTAGTTTGCAGCAAGGTGCTTTCCCAATGAGATTTTTTTTTTTTTAATAAAGGATGGTTGAATTAATCTTAAAGGCTCAATTGAGTTCAGATTTTTAAAGACATAATTCAGGTATTAGTCACGATTTTCAAGTTCCTCTTTAAGCTTTGTCACATTTCTTCTTCTATCTGTAGATAAGGAAGTTACTTGATCAGGGATGTGGCAAGCATGACTAATAAACTGCCCTCCTCCTTTCCTCAGAACTTTGATGTGGCTTCAGAATCTTTCTAACAATTGATGCCGGGAGAATACTACTATGGGATCAGAGTTGGCAGTTGAGATAAAAAAGGTTTCTTATCTCCACCACAACTGGATCCTTTCCCTTCCCCTATATCAAGCTCTGACATCTTAAATTATTTAATAATTTGTATGTAACACAATTCTTCCTGGCATCCCATACCACATTCAACAAATTTCTAATTTTGTGTTCTCACTGACATGAAGATCATTAGCATGTAAGATAATTTTTCATATACATGCACCAACTTGTCAACAATCATGATAGTAGTACAAGCTGGTCTGAGACAAATTTTTCTTTCTCATCATTGTAGATGTTACATGTTCACTGTGGTGGCTTTCATCTTTTCCTTGGAAATCATGCAAAACCACAGCTTTGTAATTGAGTTTGTACTTTTGGGGGTCTCACAGAGTCCAGATGTACAGAAAACAATATTTGTTGTAATCTTGTTAATTTACATTGCCACTAACCAGGGGAAACTTGCTAATTGTGGTGATCATCAGTAACAGCCCAGCACTCTGGGACTCCCCCCTGTACTACTTCCTGGCTTTTCTGTCCTTCCTGGATGCATGCTTCTCCTCTGTCATTGCCCCAAGGATGATTGTGGACTCTCTCCATGAAAGGAAAACCATTTCCTTCGAAGGCTGCATGACCCAGCTCTTTGCTGAACACTTCTTTGCTGGGGTGGGGGTGATTGTCCTCAGCACCATGGCCTATGACTTCTATGTGGCCAACTGCAAACCCTTGCACTATTCTTCTATCATGAACCGCAGACTCTGTGTCCTTCTGATGGTGGTAGCCTGGACAAGGGGCTTTGTTCATTCCATGATACAGATTCTCTTCATTTTCCAGCTGCCTTTCTGTGGCCCCAACATCATTGATCACTTTATGTGTGACTTGTACCCACTGTTGGAGCCTGCCTGCACTGACACTCACGTCTTTGGCCTTTTGGTAGTCACCAACAGTGGGTTTATCTGCATCCTAATCTTCTCCTTGTTGCTTGTCTCCTATGGGGTCATCCTGCTGTCTCTGAGAACCTGTATCTCTGAAGGGCAGCAGAAAGCCCTCTCCACCTGTGGATCTCACATTGCTGCTGTGGTTTTATTCTTCATCCCATGCATATTTGTGCATGCACGACCTCCATCTGCTTTCTCCTTTGACAAAATGGTAGCCATATTTTACACCATCTTAACTCCCTTGCTCAATCCTTTGATTTACATGTTCAGAAATAAGGAAGTGAAAAGTGCCATGAGGAAAGTGTGGACCAGAATAACAGTGATTTCTAATGAAAAATAAAATGTTGAAGTTAGAAAATTTTAAAGTAAGTGTAAGTTTTCTTACATTAAGAAATAAGACCAACCTACACTAGGTACAAAATCCTGAAATTCTGAGCATGAAAATAATTTAGACATCTGGTTTATTCAAGCATAAGGCCTACCAAAGATAGAATGAACACAGCTCATGGGGTAGGGGAAAAACCCCATCCAACACCTACTTTGTCTCAGACTTCCTGGGCACAGAATTTACGCATTCTGCACTACAGCTTCACTTCTGCAACAGCCACGCGTGGGTTTTGTTGTGTTTTTTTTCAGAGGGGGATGTGAGTGATTCATTCATGGGTACTTTTAGAACCTGATAGATAATCCCATTGCCTTTATTTTTCTAATTAAAGAATTCCTAAATACATTGAAAAAAAAAAAGTAAGTGTAAAGGTTGTCAAACCTTTCTTAGACAAAAACTTTGTGTCAAACTTACTTGACAGGTAGTAAGTCATCCAGTGCTTCCCTGGTAGCTCAGCTGGTAAAGAATCCACCTGCAAGCCCGGAGAACCAGGTTCGATTCCTGAGTCAGGAAGATCCACTGGAGAAGGGATAGGATGCCCACTCCAGTATTCTTGGGCTTCGCTGGTGGCTTAGCTGGTAAACAGTATGCCAGGAATGTGGGAGACAGGTCATCCAATAAAAGACCATTAACACGCGGCCTGGGAAATAATGCTTTCTCTCCGATCACTTGTGAACTCTAACATGGCAGCTCTCTTTCCTTATATGTAAATTAAAAATAATTGAATTTTATGCATATTGGATTCTATTTTTTTTTTTTTTAAAGAGAGCCATTATTGATCAGTTCACTTGCTACTCATTTGATGGTTTATAAAATTCTTATGGCGGGAAGAAAGAAACTATCTTACAGGATATTACAGGTGCTTACTCAAGCTATCCCAGATGAAAAGAAGTTTATATTTAGGATGCTATTTTAGAGACTGATGAAAATCAGGACTCAGGAATAGAAGAGACCAGAACAATCACAAAACTTCCACTGTAGGGGTTCCTGTAGCACAGGTTTATAAATAGCAAATCCCAACCTGGATTTCAAGGATCCTTTCCCTATCTACTATTTTACTCTTATAGAACTCATAAATTTCTGATATATCATATAAATTACTTTTATTGTTTTTTATGTAATCAATATTATTGTTATTTTGTCTGCTTTTTATCTTAGACTATAAGCTGTGCTTCAGGGATTTTTTTTTTTTTTCTTTTGTTCATTGGTGTGCTGTCAGCATCCAGGAAAGCCTATGTAGAAGCTCTGTTGAATAAAAGAAATATCTTTTCATATTCAAATTGAAACTCATATATAACATTAACACACTAACATGTGAGTTTTGGCAAAGGTGTGTGATTAATTATTGCTGACATTAGCCCTTAGATATTGATGATAGGGCTTCCCTGGTGGCTCAGATGGTAAGGCATCTGCCTGCAGTGAAGGAGACCCAGGTTCGATCCCGAGTTGAGGAGATTGTCTGGAGAAGGAAATGGCAACCCACTCCAGTACTCTTGCCTGGGAAATTTTATGGATGGAGGGGCCTGGTAGGCTACAGTCCATGGGGTCTCAAAGAGTCAGACACGACTGAGCAACTTCACTTTAAACTTTCACTTTTAATTGATTACAACTGTAATTCATGCTTTGATACAACACAAAGACAGTATTTAACGTAAATTTTACATTCTAGCTAATTCTCACATCTAAGTCTAGATACAGTATATATACAGTGAAATAGTAAATTGATACAGTCACTGTGGAGAATAGTATTCCTTAAAAGACTAGGAATAAAGCTACCATATGGCCCAGCAATCCCACTAATGGGCATATACTGTGGGGAAATCATAACTGAAAAAGACACATTTACCCCAATGTTAATAGCACTATTTACAATAGCTAGGACATGTAAGCAATCTATATATCCATTGACAGATGAAAGGATAAATAAGTTGTAGTACATATATACAATGGAATATTATTCAGTTATATAAAAGAATGAATTTGAGTCAGTTCTAGTGAGGTGGATGAACCTAGAGCCTGTTATAGAGAGCGAAGTAAGTCAGAAAGAGAAAAAAACAAATATTGTATATTAACTCATATATACAGAATCTGGAAAATTGTATTGATGAACCTGTTTACAGGGAAGGAATGAAGTTGCAGATACAGAGAACGAACTGGTGGACACAGTTGGGGAAGCACAGAGTGGGACGAATACATAAATAGCACTGACATACATACAGTAATGGGTGTACGGTATCTAGCTGGTGAGAAGTTGTTATAAAACACAGGGAGCCCAATCTGGCTCTCTGTGATGACCTAGAAGGGTGGGATGGGGGGAGGAGAGAGAGGCTCAAGACAAAGGTGGTGTACATATAATTATGGCTGAATTGCATTGTTGAACAGCAGAAACCAACACAATATTACCATTTGCCTGCAATTAAAGACTAAGTAAAGAAAAAAATAAATAAATAAAACCATTGCTGTCTACGCTTTTTCTCATTCTCTATTCGTCATTCCTTTTTCCATTTCTCACTCAATTAAATCTGACTTCTATTCTTTAAGCATTTCTGATCCAAATAAAATCACTTAGAGCCATAAATTTAAATTATATTAATGAGTTTAAGCTATCCAGAGTTTCCAAAGTTTACCTTAATGAGATATAAATTTAAATGAACAGAGTTTAAATTAAGACTCTAATTTGTGTTAAGAGTACACGTGGGACAGAGAAGGACAAAAATGTACTTAATGTAGTGCAAAACTCAGCTATCATCAACTCCCACAATCAAATGGCCATAGTCAACCGAATTCAGTAAGCCCTTGCTGTGAGGCTGCCAGGGTTAATACCATGACAGGTGGCCTGGACCTAAGTTTTGGCTTCCCCTGAAATGATATGATTCCCTACCCCCATCAGGTAACCTGGAGCCAGCCAATATGCGCCCAGTAAGAAACAAAGGAAGAGCTGAAAAGCCCGCGAATGCCCAGGTTTGAAAAAGCCCGCAAAAGTTTGTGCCAATAAAATTGCTTTGCAAACATGTAACCAATCCGCTTAAGCCAGCTACTAATTGCTTATGCATACCTTATAAATTTGGATAACGGCCTCTGCTCAAGGCTTTTCTGACCTTGCGCCACTGTGTTGGTTGCAGCAGAAAGCCCTGGCTCGAGTCAGTAATAAAACTTCCCTTTTTTTGTAAATTGCATTGTCTTGGAACTTCTCTCTTCCCGCTCCGGGATTCGGACATCGGGCAGAACACTTGCCTTGATGTAACAGACCAGGATTTCAGTTGGGTAATCTGATCACTCAGTCTACAATACAATTCAATTCACTCAGGCTCAGCTCTCTCAGAGACTGAAGGAACTTCCAGAGATTGTTGATTCGACTTCTTGACTTTGGCCCATTCAGTACTCTCCTTTGAAACTGCCCTTGTAAAAATTTCCTACCAGAACTGGAAAGTTTAACCATTCTCTCAAAGGTAGGGAGTTAATTTAGGACTATGACCAGGCAGTTCAATGCATGGACTAAGTCATTTGTTATTTATTTATTCTTTTTTTAGGCCAAGAAAACTTATGACATTACTATATATATATATATATATATATAGTATTAAAATTAAAGCAATTTGGATTCATCCTTGAGAGATTTGTATTCTAGTCTGTTCTGTTACTAAGTAGCTGTGTGAACTTGGTGATTTGTTTCACTTCTCTGGCCCAGAATTCTTTTGTTTAGGGTAGATTAATGAAATGTATCTATCTATCTATCTATATCTATATCTATCTATCTATCTATCTATATGTGTATGTATATATATACATGTGTGTGTGTGTGTATTTCTTTTGCATATTCTCTGAGTCAGAGATTCTTTATTTTCATGCTATATATTTTGGTATTTAGAGAAACTTTTTAGAAGTAGGTCTTCATATTCCCATTTAATTAATGGCCAGACTAAGGGTCAAGGACTTTAAAGTGAAAGTGTTAGTCACTCAGTCGTGTCCAACTTTTTGTGACCACATGGACTGTAGACCGTCAGACTCCCCTGTCCATGGGATTCTCCAGGCAAGTGTGTAGCCATTCCCTTCTCCAGGGGATCTTCCTGACTCAGGGATGGAACCAGGGTCCAGTGTTGCAGGCAGGTTCTTTACCATCTGAGTCACCAGGGGAGCCCAAAGACTTTAAGGAACACATCAAACATCTTCCTCAGGATTCTTCTAGTCCATTTGTTTAAAAAAAAAAACAAAGGCCATGTGTTGGAAGGTGATTTTTCCCTACAGTTTCTCTGAGCTTCTTGGACTTGCTGGTTGCGACTAGACCCTTTAGCAAAATTGCAAATCTTGGTGCAATCTATTCATGGCATTCTCTCACCTCAGCTGCTGTCTGCTTTCACCTATACATATCCTTGGACTCTCACTTCATACTTATTGAAGATACCTAGCAGGCAGTGTCAGACCTTACAGTTAATTCTCAGACCACAGTGCTGGTTGTAATATGGTCTCCCAGGTAGGAAAGTAACTTTTTGATGTAATCTATCCTGTCTTCAATACCTTGTGCTGTGTTGTGCTTAGTCACTCAGTCATGTTCGGCTCTCTGAAAGCCCGTGGACTGTAGTCCTCCAAGCTCCTCTGTTCATAGGATTCTCCAGGCAAGAATACTGGAGTGAGTTGCCATGGCCCTCCTCCAGGGGATCTTCCCAGCCCAGGGATCGAACCCAGATCTCCCGCATTATAGGCAGATTCTTTACCATATGAGCCACCAGGAAAGCCCAAGAATACAGGAGCGGTTGGCCTAGCCCTTCTCCAGGAGGTCTTCCCAACTCAGGAATTACACCAGGGTCTCCTGCATACCAGGCAGATTCTTTACCAGCTGAGCTACCAGTGAAGACCCTTTCATATCTCACAATGCTTCAAAAGCAAAGAGCTAATCTTGTTTCTTTTAAGAGTGCCGGGAGCCAGCACACAAGATCCCACCCATGACAAGGTCGTGA